CGATATAGCTTTGCCAGTCCCGTGTCCCATTTGTACACTGAGTACACTAACGTATACTTGTGCATAGATTATGAAGCACATGTACTATTGGAATTATTGTTACAAGGAATTTAGTTTTTTGTACATGTGTGTAGCAGAGAGAGACAGAAATAGGGTGAGCGAGAGTAAGAAAGAAAGGATGTATAACTCAGTGTGTGTGTATGTATGTGTGTGTGTGTGTGTGTGTGTGTGTGTGTGTGTGTGGTGTGTGTGTATGTGTGTGTGTATGTGTGTGTATGTGTGTGTGTGTGTGTGTGTGTGTGTAAACAGTTATTTGCTGTAGAACTTCGATTGTAATAAGGTTATAGTTGTTGACTAATGTTACTTTCTTAAGACTGGATGATCTAGCAGACCCAATGACCGCGTATCTAAGGAACAGTTTAAGGTCAAGGGTCACTTTGCCCAATAAGAAGGAAGGTTTATCATGTTTTTATCATAATTATTATTGTTGTTGTTGCTGCTGCTGTTATTTTATCATTATTTTTTATCTTTAGCATTATAATTTTTATTATTATCATCATTTTCATTAATATTATTACTATGTGGTACCAGTAGTAGTAATAGTAGTATAAGCAGCTGTAGTAGTAGCAGTGATAGTAATAGGAGTAACAGCATTAGTAGTAATAATAATAGTAGTAGTGATAGCAGCAGCAGTAGTGGTAGTAGTAGTAGTAGTCGTAGTAGTAGTAGTAGCACTATTACTACTACTACTACTACTACTAGAACAGTAGTAGTAGCAGCAGGAGTGGTGGTATTATAATCATTACTATCAGTAGCAGTAGCAGCAGCAGTAGTAGTAGTTGTAGTAGTAGTGATGGTGGTGGTGGTAGCTGTGCCATAATCATTACATTCAACATCAAATCAAAACTTTGTCTCCTATTCTTCAGTATACAAATTCATCAATGAAAATAAAACAACAAAAGATTCGTCAGTTGACAAAACACTGCCTCGGGATAAACCACCACCACACAAAGAAACAAAATTTGACTGCAAGATGAAACATTAAAATAACGATACTGTACGTGTTTCAAAATGAACATACAAGTACATGAAAGTCAGTGTCTAACTAATTCAGTTCACTTAAGCACTAGTTTCAAAACATAGCATGAAGCCTGATAGACGGATAGCATTGAGAAATCTGCAAGGCTTAAGAAACGTGATAATGTGTAGTCTGGGCAGTCAAGTGCATGTTGCGAGTAAGATAATTTAAGATAGCTACGTGGCAAAAAGAAGAGAAAAATAGAAATGAGTTGATTAAAGAAGCAGAAAAAAATATTGCTGTTAAAATGAGATAAAATGAGATGGAGAAAGACAAATGAAGATTGTAAGATATATAAATAATTAGATTAATAAATAGAGATGATTTAAGATAACAGATCATGAAAAATAGCAGATTACACCATCTGTTATTTTGCATAATATGGAACAATAACAAAGTAAATATTGAATATTGTTCACCCTTGGTAAACAACTATGCAGGACAAAGGAGTACTCTAGAGTCAGAAATGTACTTGATGGAATGTGTCCTGAATGTGGTATGCGATATATGAAATGCATGATAAATGAGCCGTAAGCTAAGTAGCATATCGGATACCAGAGAAATCATGCAGTTGCTGAGAAACGGTAAGTAAAATATTCTACTTTGCACAAATTAACAAATGAAGGTATAGATGAATGAATGATTATACAATGTTAAATATGTAAATGGTGTTGCGATATTACATGTTCTGCTATATGATATATATATATATATATATATATATATATATATATATATATATATATATATATATATATATATATATATTTTTTTTTTTTTTTTTTTTTTTTTTTTTTTTTTTTTTTTTTTTTTTTTTTTTTTTTACAATTATCCTTGGATGTGGATGAATTTCATCGAATGTGAAATCACTTGTTGACTAGTATATTCGAAAAACATCCTTCAAATCTGGGTTCTTAACCTGGGGTTTCAGGGGGTTCGTGAGGATTAGACGAAAGTAATATTTATATTGGCGTTTTTGTTGTTATTTTTGTTTTACATTACTTCGAAATTTGATAATGATTTGTGTATCTCATATATGTATAAGATAATCAAATTTCAGCAGAAATGTATACACTTTGCATGTAAAGTATTAATGTGAATATTTCAGGGGAAGGGGGTGCATAGCTTTCATCGGACTCTTAAGGGACCGTGACTCTTAAAAGGTCAAGAACCACCTGTAAATAAAGCAGTTTTAATCATAAATGACCTCATATCTCCAGGGGGAATATGCGACAGATTACTTCTCATGGATAAACATAGAGTAGACAAAACATATAAACTGTAAAGGAAAACAAATAAAACACCGGATACATTGGACAAGAAGTAAAGGTTTATGATTAAGAATAATGGAAAGAAAAAAAAATCTCATATTTCACAACACGAACCTAGACAACGCGGGAATACATGTATATATTAGAATCCAACTGACTGAACAGTCACGCGAAGCACAAGCTTGCAAAATGTATTCTTGAAATCTATTGATTGTTGTTCGCTCTTTCCCAATCACCCACTTAGTCGTAAAATCCCCATTAATCTCTCGTACCGTTAAGCGAAATACTGGAACGTTTACCGAACAATTTGCATGCTGGCTGCAAAGGTGCGTCCACAAAATAGGAATAGATGTAAACTCACGCCAGAAGGGAATAGAATCATCGACAAATGTTGGATATTTGAATAAAACTTGTGTTAGGTTGCCAGTAAGTTTGTTTTTTTTTCGTTTTTGTATTCAGTTCATGACCAAGGATGTGATTCGACGGAAATTGGTCTGCTAAACGGAAAACAAAGGACAGTCGTTGACGTAGTTGGTCGACTGCAGAACCTGTAGATTTTTTTTTTTTTTTTTTTTTTGTGGCTACATAATTACTTTATCTTAAATAAAGTATTTGTAATATAAAGCGAAAAGTAATTTAAAAAGAATATTTAGATTTCCCATTACTATAATATGTAGCAGATGACTCCTGCGGTTTTTATCGTAGGTAAAAGTACTATTTTCCTGACATGAGAATATACCCTAGTTTGCCATCTCCCTAAAGTTATCAAAGAAAACGCATTTGGCGTTAGCCAGTCACACTGCAGAATGGCAGTCAATGAAAATGGGTGAAAGAAGGTAAACAATGTAACTCGCATTAACTACAATTTTCTCTGTGATTGTATGTACACTGTGGTCTCCCATATGTTATACTCTGGTGAATATACTTCAGTGATTCACTACCGAAGCACAACACCTGCGGGTAGACATACAGATGTTCAGACCGATCTAGAGCACATGTGAAGTGTCAAATCTCTCTCGTATATTGGGAAAAAAACGGAATTGCAAAAGCACGTTTTTCTGCTAAGTAATTTCGAAAAAACCGGCTCTGACTGCTAATTGAGTTCTAATTGCAAATCTGAATCACAGAACACGAACGAAAAGCTATCAGAAAATCGAAATGCGTGCCTCATTTGCATCTCAATGGTAATCAAATCTTGGAAAAGCAGAAGTTAATTGAAGTAATGATTATTTTATGTCAATTCAAATGATGTCATGTTATTTGAGATTTGAATATGTTTCTTCAGTGGATGCTTTTTGTCACATGGGATGCCGGTATGTTGGTCTAGATGATAACACTATCAACATTATTGTTATTATTATCGCTATAACTGCTGCTATTACTGTAATTACCATTATCATAATATAATTGTTGTTGTTGTTAGTGTTATTGTTATGATTATTATTACTATTATTTTTATGGTCCTGATCGTCAATATTATTTATTATCATTATCATTATTGTCGTTATTATGCAGCCGGATATCGAACGGTATACCATGAACCACCTAATCGAAAATTCAATAGACATGCCTTCAAAGTAGGTTTGTTTAATAACTAAATAACGGAGATCTGCTTGGTCTTCATCACAGTATTGTCAAACAAATAAAAATCATTATAAGCAACACATACTAAAGCCTTACTTAATAGTTAGGCAATGTTATTATAGAAAGAACAGGTGCGTCAAGCAACGCACCGGCAAAGGCCAACAACTATTACCATGTATATATATATATTATATATATATATATATATATATATATATTATATATATATATATATATATGTGTGTGTGTGTGTGGTGTGTGTGTGTGTGTGTGTGTGTGGTGTGTGGTGTGTGGTGTGTGTGTGTGGTATGGTAATTCTCTCCAAAATGATTGTAGTATCCTAAGAAAATCTACAGGACGAAAACTACTTTGGCTGATATATAGATTAATATCAATTACAAGTATGTTATTTCATTAGTATTTCAACAGTTTAAAGCCAGTGGTTGTGCAATCACAAGGCTGTCAGCTACATTCCCCGTAAAAAGAAAAACCTTTTCATCATCACCATCCACCACACTCTCACCTCTCACCCTATAGAATGTAAGCCTTTTCACCCTCATCACCATCACCACACCCACACACTTCATCACTACCACACCTTCAGATGATCCCGCCGTCATCCTCATCACCACCTCAGACTTCCACACCTCATTATCAACCTCACTTCCCTCACCATCCTCTCTCACCTTCAACCACTCACCCTCACCCTCACCTTGTCATACCTCACCCACATCCTCATACACCCACTCCACCACCTCATGATCCAACTACACCACCCTGTCATCCTTCACCCACCATCCATCACACCTCACCTCTCATGCAGCTTCTCATCACACCCTCGATCCGTCTCACACTCCATCGAGCACCACCCTCACCCCATTTCACCTCTCATCACATTCCTCTCCAACCACAATCACCCTCACCCACCACACATCCTCACCTCACCACACCCGCCATTGTCCCTACCTGCTCACCTCCACCTCCACTCCACACTCTCACCATCCTCATCCTCAACCCCTCTCCACCACCTCTCATCACCACTCGCCACCTCCATCTCATCACCACAT